TATCTTAGTGTCACTGGATAAGTTGTAAAGCTGGTTTTGAAGAAATAGTTAAAAGTTTAGATTTTAAAACCAAAGATGGTTTTTGTAGCGTTATGCTACGAGTTTTCAAGGTAGGAGCTTGAAACTTTTAAATTATATGTAAAATTAAGAGCTAGACAAGTTTTTTTAAGATATAAAGAGCAGTAATCTTAGTAAAATTAAGTGTTATTAAAGATTTTTAATAGGCGAATTTTTAATTAAATGTTGTGTAAGTGATTGACGGAAAGAGTTTTTTATTTTTATGTTTTGCGAACTTAAAATGTTCAAATGTTGTGAAAGAAAATATATTAAATAATTTTTTTATATGCTATTCCAGATATTTTTACTAAAAAAACATACTGCTAATTGTAATTTTGTTTGTAATTCAGTTACAAATTTACAAACTTTTCTATTTTAAAGTAAATATTAGTATTGTTTGCTTGAAGAGTATCAGTAAGTACTTAAAAACTATTTGGTTTGGATTTGCTATTTGAGATTGTTAGAGTTGTTAAGGTAGTAGCTAAGGTTGTTATAGAGATAATAAAGATAGTGTGATAGAAGGAGAAGCAGTAGATATTTTGTATAATTGTTCTAAATTATATTCAGATAATTTAGAGACTGTAGATTTATTAGTATAGGCTGTATAAAATTAAATACTTATAGTATTGAATACTAAAGGATCAAGATTTTGTTCAAATCAAACAGTATAAAGAATAAGTTCAAAATGTCAAAAAGGAAGATTGTAAAAATTAATTTTTTTTATAGTATTATAAACTAAAAAGGTTTGGTTTGTATAGTAAAGAGCAGAAAATTCTGCAGTAAACTAAGTTTAAAAGATATTAAAAGATTTAGATTTCTTTTCAAGATTAACAAGATAACAAATTTGGCAAGAGTAGTTAACAAGATGTTTTTGGGTTTAATTAATATATAATATAAAATTACTTGTGTTTAATATTTCTAGCAATAAATTCTGTAAAATTACTAGTTATTTAGGTGGGTACAGATGCATCTGACAGGTATGATAAAAAAACTGCCATAATAAAAAATTTATTAGCTTCTCGATCCAAACTAATGTAAAATTAATTTTTATATGAATCTATTAACTATTATAGTGCTATCTTACTGACTATATGATAGAAAAAAGTTCGTTGTCAAAAATTGTTATGTTTCATATGTTATGTTTCATTATGGTAATGATAAGAATTAGTAACAAAATCCCGTGATTCTGTATTGAGCTATCTGTAATGTAACATAGAGCTCCAATTGATCTCATTTATTCAGACCAAGTCTTTTCACACCTCAATCGTAGTATTACTACTATTGGGGTTCAGTTAGTGTAGTTTAGTGTAGTGTTATGTTGTATTATCCCGATCCCAAGGTATTTTCACCTTTTTCAACATGCAGTTCATACCAGCATTATTTAAACCTCATTGTTGCGCTCAATATTTTGTGCATATATCCACATCAGAATTTGATGTTTCAAGACAATTCACAGATGATCTTAATAAGAGTATACTTTAATTTAAAAAAAATATATTAATTCGTATCTTTTTACTTAATTTCTGATATATTCATTAAACACGTGATTGTGGTCAGATGAACATTTATGCTACCAGCTACAATTTTTTGGTTATATAACTTACCTTATAAAGCTTCAATGCTTCTACAGAAAGGAATTTTGATTTATTGATTTTTTTGACAAACAATTTATAGGTATTTATTCAATTTATGAATTTTCCTATTTTGTTTTAATAAATTATATTGATTTTACAAATAAATATTAGTAATGCTTAAATAATACGTATTTACATAAAATAGCCTTAGTTTTATATAAGCATTAAAAATTTTATTTTTAAGAACATAAAATAAAGTTTGAAACAAAGTAAAGAAATATTCACTAAATATATTTCTAGAAAAATATAAATATAAATAAACAGGTATCTTAAATAATTTTAAGTCAGCGTAAAATGCTTTTAGTATATGTCCAAAAATTAAAACGAAAAATATTTAATACCAATCTCTTCTATACTATTAGATAAGGTTTCCAGGTATCTACTTTCAACTTTCAGTATGATTTTTGGCAAATTATATCTGTTTCCAGGTTGTTTTTATATTCTAATATAGGATCTTCAACCTCTTTAATTTCTGGAAGTTTACAACTGAGATTGTAATATTTTGAAAGTATTACTTTAAATATGTTTACCACATTTATAGAATGTTTTGATGAACAAAATATTAATGAAGCTTTCATTTTAAAGACATAATCATAAGCCTATGAAAAAAATGGTAAATATATATATTTTTAAAAAAACTATATATAATACAATTTAAATATGAATCACCTTATTTGTAATATCATACTGAATTTTCTTTTCAAAATTTTTAAATATATCATATTTTGTCCCAATAAGAAAATAGATTGCATTCTGTTGATTTGAGTTGAAAATAAATAAATGCTCATTTTGTGTTGATATCACATTTTACATACTTTATTTAAATTTTTTGTTTGTTTATACCATTTTTTAATACTGCATAATGTGGATATTTGTGATAAATCAAATATAAAAAGAATAGCAACAGAATCATTACAAACAAAAGAAATAAATTCAGGGTAACCTATTTTGTATAATGAAAAAAATAATCAATAAATCAAAATCCCGACAAACAAAATTCCGAAAAAAAATATTAGCTTTACCAAAATCCCATATACTGAATCTAAATTTGTATCCTCGCAATGTAATAGTTCTTTCTTTAAAGTGAACACCTTCAGAAATATTAATAGTAAAGAGTTAATTTTAAAGTTATTTAAAAATAAATAAAAAAACTTTGAGTCATTACTATTGGTTTGGTCATAAAATACATCAAAATCACCTTTAGTAAATTTACACATCAAACTAGTTTAACCAATTTTAGGATCGCCAACCATCCCAACCTTAATCACAACCCTATTTTAAAGGATTAATTACATAAGTAAGTAATAAATAAATATTAATTAAAAAATTACATACTCAATATACTCATTTCTCTCACTAGTATTACTAGGCATTTTTAACTGGCAAAGTTAAACAAATTTTGAAAATTTGGTGAATATATAACAGTGAGAGACTGCTACGGTCGATTTTTGGAATTGATTCTGTGCTGGGATCTGATTTCGTGATATTACAAAACAAACATATTCAAAATGGATAAAATGTGCACTTGGCAAATAATATTTCATTTTTAATTGACTAGTCTAAAAATCAAAAAATTTACTAATTATTTATAACAAAACAAAATTACTGTAAACTACTAGTCTTTGAATATGTAAAGTTAAAATATAAAAAAATCCCAATGATAAGACAAAGATCAATTCATTTCTTAAAACATTGGCTTGAAGGCGGGCGTTGATAAAGAAATTCAACATATAGAATTTTATTAATTTTACAATTCAAAAAATTAAATTTCTCGATCACTGATAAGAATATTGAATAAAATGAATTTATCATCATACTTAGTAATTGACTTCATTTTTAAATTTATAGATCGATTATATTTTCTCTAATATAAACTAATTTTTTAAAAACATAAGTTATATTAATTTTTTATTTGGTGATAATTCTTAATTTCTGGTTCCAAAATTATAGTCCTTATGATTAATTACATAACGTCTAAAATAATAAAACAATATGCAAAGTCTCTAAATCAATATATCTTTTTAAGATGATTAGGTTTAACAATTTTTGATTGTATTGGCAGAAATATTTTCTTTGTTGTTTACACCCTCAGATCTAATAATAGTAGATAAGTGTGAATGAATAATTTGAGAAATAGAAAACCATATCAAAGAATGCTTACTAAATGCATGCAATTCATAATAGAATAGTCAGCTACTGTGAAAATTCATCGTGCAAGGTTTAAAAATATTTCAGCAAATAGGATAATCTAAACTAAAGATGCTGAACTAAAATAAATCATGTAAACATTAAAGAGTATATTTTAAACAGAAAGACTGATTGTAAAAATATTAGGGATTAATAGTTTTATCTTTGTTTAGTATCTTTCTCTTCCACAAACATATCAACTATCTTTATAGTAAAAAATGCAAACATTTAAGTTATATTCTATTGTGATTTTATTTAAGTAATGATTTTTAAAACTTTTTTTCGGTCTAAACAGATGTCAATTCCTCAGTTATTTTGTTTAATATTAAGGTTTTTAATATTGATACCTTAAATTGGTATTGATATACCAATACTGGGTGATCTTATAAAGTTCCAAGCTATATCGATATCAATATTAGCAATTAACCCCATTCCGACTAATTTTGGCCGATTTGTGAACATTTATTTTAGGATAAGTGTTTGTTTTAAGGAGGTCTCTCATGAATTATTTAAAAATTTATGAGGGACCTCCTTAAAACAAACACTTATCCTAAGGGTCTTTCCACAGCAAAATCAGGGCTTAGAGACAAACTAACAGAAATTGAGATTTTTATTGGATTGTATTCGCAAGTGTGTAATTTATTCATAGTAAAAATTTAAGATTAAAGAAACTGATGAATTAATTTATATATTAGTAATAGCTTCTTTTTTTGACCTGTTAGG